TTTTAATTCCTCCTTTTCCCCGTTTCCCTTCTCCGCCCGCTCCCGTCATTTTTTTTTCGATTTTTTTTAAAAAAAGTTGTTTTTTTTTTTTTTTCGTTTTTTTCGGGCCCACCCCGACTTCGCGCCCCCTTGTTCACTGGAATTCGGGTTCGATGCTTTCAGTTTCTTCGCCTGTTACATGCATCGATACTTTTTGAATTACCTTGTCGTTATGGGTTTTGCTTTCTCTCTGTCTCCAATTTAGATCCTCGTGGTGATTTAACCGCCTTTGGTAATTGCCTGTATTTTAGAAATTGACTGTTTTTCTAAGGTTTATGACAGCAAATGTGCCGTTGAAAATTAATGAGTGTTTGATAATATATTTTTAATGATAAAAAAAAATTGTAAAAATTTAAAATTTGGCTTTGTGTGCTCAAACGGTTTGGTGTCAAGTTCCCTATTGATTTGATGGGGATCCGTTAATTACTTACTACTACTCTTTACTCAGTTTGATTCTTGCGAGGGCGTGTGCATGTGGTGTCCATATCTGTGTTAAGATGCTGATTGATGGGCAGTACTGGTGGTCAGATATTAGCGAGTTTTGTTATAATACTGTAGAATTTTTGATGGACTGTTGGGCTGTCAATCCAATGATTTTTCTTTCTCCGACATAAAAAAAGCCACATTTGAAATTCTGTACCAGATACTAACTTGGGTTTTCAAATCAAATTCGGGGGCTTGTTGTAATTCCTGATTTGCATGCGGGTGAGTGTTTTAGTTTAGCCTATAGGTTTACCTCTCAGTTTGAACCTAAATGGTTTTGGTCATACGTTAAGTTACTTTTTGTTTTAACTTGTTGGTTTGTATTTAGTACTCACCTAAGTATACTGATCTTTAACCTGCGGTTCGTTGCAGTACAGAAATTCTAGTTTTTTTAAGAGACTTCAGGTTGCATGTTTTCATATAACTGTCTTATTTGATCCTGAATCAGTTAGTGATTCGTATGCATGTGTGCAATTTTTAATGAGATACAATGACATACGGGGACTCCTTTTTATCTCTAGTTATTTTGCTTAACATGTATATGTAATGTATGTATCATAACCTGGAAATGCAAATTACTCACGGATATTTAGCACTAATCTAGTTAATACTCCGTGTGTTTTTCAGTTGTGAATAATGAAATATTTGGTGTGCTTTTATATATGATGCTGTCTTTTGTTGCTTCCATCTTCTGGATTTTTAACGAATTTACCGGATGTCATAGAAAACGGGGGCTATTTGTCATGGCATCTGTAAATGATCTTATTTCTTTGATTCTGATTGTAGGTAGAGAGTATAGCTTCTTTGGAACACTGAATATGGAGTCAAATGGTCATGCAAGAGTAAGGAGAAATGATATTATTAAAGAAAATGGTAATTCTCATTTGTCAAATGTAGATGAACATGATCCATGGACAGCATGGGCATACAAGCCTCGAACCATCACATTGTTACTTATTGGTGCTTGCTTTCTCATGTGAGTGTCTAGCTGGATGAATTAATGTTAACGAGTGGTGTATTTTTATCTACTAGGAAATTTTGTTCATCAATAAAATCAAATTTCTTCCCCCCACTTATTTTTTTGTATCACTGTTGTATATGTCAGTTGGGCAAGTGGAGCACTTGATCCTGAAAGAGATGCATCTGGTGATCTTGTCACTTCTGTTAAAAGGTTTGGTAATTTTAGTTTAATTACTTCTCATTTCACTGTGCTTATATAATTTTTGCTGAGAATAACAAATGCTAAATGCCCGCACAACTGTTTTTCTGCAGGGGTGTATGGGCAATGATTGCTGTTTTTCTTGCTTATTGCCTGCTGCAAGCTCCTTCTACGTGAGTAATAAGAATGAATTTATTTTGTTTAGTTTGGTATTTTCCATTTACATGTTGTTTTGGGACGTGTATATTAGTCTTCTTGCCTTTTTCCTTTTATTATATTAAATTTAATTGTGAGTTTAGATTTAGATCCCAAACGTGTCAGAAGACATTCCTTATTTTCGGTGACTTCCTACATGATTGGATTATTTTCTTGCCTGTATCTGGAAGGATACTGAGTATCTAAACTTTTAGTCTCAGGTTTGGGAGGTGGTGTTTGAAGAATTTAATTCCAGGTTCATCGGTTAATTTATTTCACATTTAAAGTCAAGAGAATAAGGCAACAGCTTCATACTCACAGATCACTGTTTTAGAACATTATTAATGGACTAAGTTATTTGAGATAATCAAGATATCATTCAAGATTGGATGGTTGCCGCTACTCTACTTGCTTGGTAGAAAAGTTTGTGGAAGATGCTTCTTTTCAAAATTGGGTTAGAGAGTGTGTGGATGGGATATGGAAACTGTATGAAGATAACTGGGAATCCAAAGTGTTTATTTTTGTTTGGTGGACGTTCTTTCTATACAAAGTTTTAATATAGTTCCGCTTAAAATGGTTTTGCTATGTTATCAATATAACATGGACGATAATATAAACAAGAGTTTTGTCACTGCCTACCGATATTGTATGACGGTGGAAGTTTTGTTCAGCTGAAGTTGTAAACTTTCTGGCGACTATTACCTTAATAGATATTTCCCCACTTTCTTTCAGGGTTCTTATTCGGCCACATCCTGCAATTTGGCGCTTGGTTCATGGGATGGCCGTTGTTTATCTTGTTGCCCTCACATTTTTACTTTTTCAGGTTGGTTTTCATATCTCCAATTTGACAATTCTTGTTTAAAGTTTAAGCAATTTTGTCAAGCTTAGATTTACGGCTTTGAAAAAAAAAAAAAACTTTACTCTAGATTCTGGCTTACTTTTTATTTATTTGCATCTGTTAGCTTCCTCTAATTTCATTTGTGCCTTGTGTGGCATAGTAATATTTGTCATTTGTTGCCCTGTTTCCATCAAGTGAATGAAAGTGGACTAACTTGTATCCTCAACTTTTTTTCCCTACAGAAGCGTGATGATGCTCGACAGTTTATGAAATTTCTTCATCCTGATCTTGGTGTTGGTAAGTCAATCCGATTCTTTTTTTTTTCTTAGCTATGAACTGGTTGAAATTAATTCGATATCTATTTGTATTTGGGATTTTAAAACATTTTTGGGTTAGTCATGGATCAGCCTGTTTGCTTCAGTTTAAAAGTTTTTAATTACTGTATGTGATATTGGCAGAACTTCCAGAAAGGTCTTATGGTGCCGACTGCCGTATATATCTGCCTGAAAACCCTGCAAGCAGGTTTAAGAATGTTTATGTATGATTTCTTTCACAACCTTTGATTTTGTATATCCTCTAAAGTTACTTTATACCTTTCTTTATCATATTTGGACCTAACACGGGTCTTATATTATGTTTCACTTTCCAGGAGACACTTTTTGATGAGTTTGTTCTAGCTCATGTTATTGGGTGGTGGGGGAAGGCAATATTGATTCGTAATCAGCCCCTTCTTTGGGTGTTATCAATTGGTTTTGAGTTGGTGGAGGTAAGCCCAGATACTTATACACGATTAATACACTCTTTTTTTATATTTTGAGGTAGGTCTTCATAAAGCTTTGACTTTTTTGTTGCGTTGGTATAACTATACTTTCGGATTGCTTACAAAGTATTCGATGCTGGCCTTTTCAGTTTACTTTTCGTCATATGTTACCAAATTTCAACGAGTGCTGGTGGGACAGTATTATTCTTGACATCTTGATCTGCAATTGGTTCGGTGAGAGTTTTGGACCCATTTTTGTTTTGTTTTAGGCAAGTTACAAAGATTACATGTGGTTTATTAGTCGAAGAATAAGCTTATTTATTGTACCACCATAATTACAGATTGCATCTATAGACATTCATTTAATCTGAAATAGTTTGTCAACAAAATAAAAATAAATATTTTAGATCTTCATTCTACAATGAAGCTTCGAGGAATTAACTGTATTGACATTTTTTTAAGTCTGTCCTGGAATCTATTCAATGCCTATATACTCACTACAATTTTACTACAAGTTTAGTTGTTTTATTTCTAAACAATTTGTTCATCCCAAAAAAATTCAGTACATCATTTGAATTTTGGTGATTCTTTAAGTATCGTAATTCATGATTCTGGTGGTGTTGAGTAAACTATTGCATCGAATTGTTTCGGCCGATTGTAACATCTGTCGGATTAATTAATCTGCAGGAATTTGGGCAGGAATGCATACTGTTAGATACTTTGATGGGAAAACCTACAAATGGGTCGGTCTAAGCCAGCAGCCTAATATAATAGGAAAAGTATGTTTGTCTGTCATCAGTTATTCCATATTATGCTTGAGTCTTTGATTCCTATTGAAATTGAAGTTACAAACTTGAAATGTCTTTTTCTTTGCCTACTGGAGCAATAGCCAATTGCCTGTGCTCTGACAGATGTTTTTACTAAAATTGTCTTTCTTTAATCTTGTAATAATAATCCGGTACAGTCTCTTCATCTCACCATCTGAGACTTGAATGGTATATCTTACTTGATATTGGCATTAGGTGAAACGAACATTGGGTCAATTCACACCAGCTCAGTGGGACAAAGACGAGTGGCATCCACTGCTTGGTCCTTGGCGTTTCATTCAAGTGCTTAGTCTTTGCATTGTATTTTTGACAGTAGAGCTCAACACATTCTTTTTGAAATTTTGTCTCTGGATACCTCCTCGAAATTCAGTTGTTATATATAGGTTGATTTTGTGGTGGTTACTTGCAATTCCAACAATTCGTGAGTACAATTCATACCTTCAAGACAGGTGCATTCCCATGTTTTCTATTTACATATTGTCTATTGAGTGTTGATGAATGCCAATATTGGTCACATCCGAACAAGCTCTTGACATTTTATGTCCATATACTGTGATTTTTACAGAAAGCCAGTGAAGAAGGTTGGAGCATATTGTTGGCTCTCTCTTGCCATTTGCATTGTAGAACTTCTGATTTGCATTAAGTTTGGACACGGTACGCTGGTCTCTTATATATAAATCCTTGGGCTGTGCGTCATATTTAGAGGTTAGTATCGATTATTATATAATTCACTGATTACCTTCATGGTGGTTGTTTTTCGACAGGCTTGTATCCTAAACCAATGCCCATATGGCTGGTAATATTCTGGTCGAGTGTTGGAGTGGCCATTGTTACATTTTTGCTTTTGTGGTCTTGGCAAATCCATCGCAGTCTAGGGAACAAGAAGAGGCGATAATTTTACAACTACTGCAGTTGCAGCAGTCGCAATGCATTATNGATTCCTATTGAAATTGAAGTTACAAACTTGAAATGTCTTTTTCTTTGCCTACTGGAGCAATAGCCAATTGCCTGTGCTCTGACAGATGTTTTTACTAAAATTGTCTTTCTTTAATCTTGTAATAATAATCCGGTACAGTCTCTTCATCTCACCATCTGAGACTTGACTGGTATATCTTACTTGATATTGGCATTAGGTGAAACGAACATTGGGTCAATTCACACCAGCTCAGTGGGACAAAGACGAGTGGCATCCACTGCTTGGTCCTTGGCGTTTCATTCAAGTGCTTAGTCTTTGCATTGTATTTTTGACAGTAGAGCTCAACACATTCTTTTTGAAATTTTGTCTCTGGATACCTCCTCGAAATTCAGTTGTTATATATAGGTTGATTTTGTGGTGGTTACTTGCAATTCCAACAATTCGTGAGTACAATTCATACCTTCAAGACAGGTGCATTCCCATGTTTTCTATTTACATATTGTCTATTGAGTGTTGATGAATGCCAATATTGGTCACATCCGAACAAGCTCTTGACATTTTATGTCCATATACTGTGATTTTTACAGAAAGCCAGTGAAGAAGGTTGGAGCATATTGTTGGCTCTCTCTTGCCATTTGCATTGTAGAACTTCTGATTTGCATTAAGTTTGGACACGGTACGCTGGTCTCTTATATATAAATCCTTGGGCTGTGCGTCATATTTAGAGGTTAGTATCGATTATTATATAATTCACTGATTACCTTCATGGTGGTTGTTTTTCGACAGGCTTGTATCCTAAACCAATGCCCATATGGCTGGTAATATTCTGGTCGAGTGTTGGAGTGGCCATTGTTACATTTTTGCTTTTGTGGTCTTGGCAAATCCATCGCAGTCTAGGGAACAAGAAGAGGCGATAATTTTACAACTACTGCAGTTGCAGCAGTCGCAATGCATTATTCTTTGATTGATTCCTTCCTCATTTTTATGGATACCAATCCATAGCCATACACACATGGTGTAAATACTATCATCAACCTCATAATTAAATTGTAAATGAATATTAATTCTCCTAGCTTAGTGTAGTGGATCACAGTTTCTTTGGGCGGCAAATATTAGTTCCAGCAGCTGGTAGAGAGGTGTACTTGTTATTTATGAGGCTTGCTTTTTGAATAGGTTTCCACCATTGGTAAATTGGCCAATTTCTTCCCTTCCATCGGAATTAGTCATGCTGAAGCGTGTGTATCCAGTCATTTTAATGAAATTTTGAGTGAAGAATGTTTTTGCTTCACCAATTGTGTTTGAATGTTAGCATAATGTTGGAGATTTACAACACCATTATGTTTAGGAATGTTATTATGCTAACATCTGCAGCATCTGTAATATTTTCAGATTTAATATTTTATTGTATGATATAAAAATGACTACACTACAAAACTGAACATTTGCTTACTAATATTTCACTTAATCCTTATTCTTTTTTGTATGCATGTATGTAACTTAAAACTATTTTCTCAGAAAATAGACACGATAAAATCGTCTTACTTTAATCGTGCAGAGATTAAAATGAATCACGGGTATAAAGAATTGCTTGAATGGTTACGTAATATTGCATGCACCGAAGCATGTTGGTGTTCAAGTAATAATGCGTAGTAGTTAAGAATTTCATTGGAGGAGGTTATTAAAAAATAAGAGGAAAAAAATGTTGTAAGGGTGCTTTTGACATGTTTATGTGGGGTTATCCTCCATTGTTTCATATTTACTGATGAAGTCGCTCCTATGTTGCCTTTTCAATATGGAGACGCCTTTCGTTATTTTAGAAGATCCACTTTTACTTCCATTTGTTTGAAACCATTTTTTTTTATTTATTTTAGTTCAAAATCATAATTTATGGCTTATGAACTCCTATCACATAAAGCTATAATTTACAACTAACTAATCACATTTTATATTGATTTCATAAATCAAATTAGATCACAACTAACACTTAATTAGAATTGTTACATGTATTTTTTTTTTCTCCAAGCACTTCCTGGTTGTCCTTTTCCCATCATATCCCGTTTTCGTTTAGACCAAGAATTTCTTGGTGAGTACACAAGAGTATATGCCAACATTTGTCCCTTACTAGTCCACATATCTTACAAAGTCTAAGTGGAAAATGGCATTGTAACAATCTTCCTCTTCCATGTTGTCCTTCCTCTGACAATTTCGTCGTTTTGTTTGTCCCCTTTGATTTGTAGAAGGTGTGTATACCTTAATGGCCTCTGCTCAAGGTAAGTCAGCACTCCACTACCATTTATAATATCTGATGATAACCCATTGAGAAGATTTGTGCAGTAATCTGGCTCTACCACACCATGAAGTATTTCATCATCTTCTGGTTCACATAATGATTGAACAATATCTGAGCTTCCACACTCCCTTCTGTACTCCAGTGTGATACTAGATAATTGGTGCCCCTCCAGAATTTGGTCTGGGATGGTCTGTAGAAGCAATCGACAATAGAATTTTGAGACTTAACTATGAGATTCATAATGCTCTATAAGGACTAATGAGTATTGACCATTGAGCTCATAAACCTTTGGAATTTACCTCTAGCATCCATCTTACATACTTCACATTATTAACATGTTGGTTCATGTCCAAATCACTTCTCTTAGGCTGAAAAGTGGGGAGGTGCACAAAAGTCAATAATTGTGTACATTCTTTGTGCTATGGCAGAGCCAGCAGTAATTTAACTGTAATGCACAGCGTAAATAGCAAACAGTATATGTCTCACAATGCAAAGATTTTGTATGCTATTATCCAATTACAAATTGTTAATTATGGTGGTAAAAATTTGTTGATTTCTTTAATGACTACTCTAAAATTTATTTAATGATTTCTGATTGATTGACATTTTTAAATTGACAGTAAGTACTAAACTCAAATGTCATATGCATATATATATACCTTCAAATCAGAATTCATGTATTTTGCCTCTTTATCCAATTTGACTATTTTTTCTTGAGCATCTTCCTTTATTGCTTGCTTCTCTATAAACCAGGGTGCAACCTCTGCTCTCACCTCTTCTGGCATCTTGGAGAGACGTCTTGTTTTGCGGTTCATCATCACCCACGTGCTGTTTATGGCTTATCTCAATCAGCACACAGGTATAAAACGTGGAAAATTTGAAAATTGTTAGAATCACTGTGCAAGACATGCATACAGGGGAGAGTGCATACCTTGTCGCACGTGCAAAAATGTGGCCTGTGGCTTGGCTTCTTATCAGCCAGTCCCGCCGCATTCCATTCTTGCCTGATGCTCCAACCCATGTGTCAATTTCAACTACCTCTCCCCTGACACGTGTCAAATTAATCTCTTGTTAATGGTTTAGTCAATCAACTATGTGCTGCTAACACTAAATTTTCATTTCATCAAAATTGGTACAACTCTTCGGCAAATATGATGAGCTTAGGGCCAGCCACTAAGTAAATGACTTGAAGACAAGACAAGAGTTATTGAATACGGAGAAGATTTCAAGGAAAACCTTCAACAAAGTAGTACAACGACTGTGACAAGACTTGTCTCAAGCGAGTTGAAAGTTCTCAAATTTGATTAGTATATTCCAACAACAGAAAAATTATTTGAAGGGCACAAGTGTACATATTCATTTGTGTCCTTGTAATAAACATGATGGAAAGGAATTTTACCAGATGGGATAGTAATCAATCACAACTTGCATTCTTGAGACAACCCAAATGAGGTCGTTCCTCACCATTCCGTGTGTCGCCCCAAACCCATCACCCAGCAGCCCAGACATCCAAACATGGTTTAATGCTGTTTCCTGCACGTAAAATTGCACTTAGCAACAAAACAAGGAAGCCCTAGTGCTTTTGGAGCAGTGAAAACTCTGGTTACATGATAATAACATGTGTATTTAATTAATCACCTGAAGAAGATTGAGGATGCTCTCAAGCGTGGCGGTTTTATCAGCTCCAACTTCATAGGACCTAATGACAATGGTCTGTCTATAACCAACTCCACCTTCAGTGATGAGCCCTTGACGATGAGGATCAACCATTTTCTTCTTTGTTGGGATGTTTTGGCGCAGACAATTTTCATCAATTGTAACAGCTTGACCGAGAGTGGTGGAAGTGGTTGCAGGTATTTGGCCTAATGTCTCAACTTTAATTGGCGACCTAAAACTCCCATTAGTTCTGATGCCGGTGTTCACTGGCTGCTTAAGTTGGTCATGGTTTTCTCTCATGGAACAAGACCTAACAAAGTAGGTAGAAGCTGGATATGAGAAAGTGGCAACCATTGTTCTCATTTTGTTCCTAACAAAGTGGAACAGTACCTTAGAAGGAGAAAGGTTGGAAGAGAAAAATGGGTACCAAAACTTTTTTATAGTTTAACGTTAGACGGGGTTAACAAAGCAGGGCTTGCAACTCTGAGAGACAAATAAGTGAACCTTGTGAATCAGCTGACATATCAAAGAGATTTTGGTGTTTGCTGCAGAAGTAACTTTTAGTTGTCCCCATCTGAGAAACGAAACGCCCTAGTTCTGATCGATCAGGTAGTAGACAAAAGCTTGTTTAGTTTGTGTCAGACAATTTTGTGAGTTTATGAAAAAAGCAATGCAGTTAATACTCTACTAAAATACCGTTGCTAGTATTTCATAGTGTGAATCTGAACATGTAATATAAAACTATGAAAAACTGAACATAGAAAATATTTAAGTATTTACCAGTCAGTGCGTAAGAAGAATAATAGAATGATAACAAGGAAAAGAAGATTAACAGAAAGTATCATTGGAGGTTTTTAACTTCTATCTGTGTCACGATTTAACTACGAGTTACTAGCCTGACATCATTCATAAACATTCTGTTCTTCATTATTACTGGGTCTAGGACTTAAAGAATTGGTGAGTTATAGATATAGTGCTTAGTATTATTGTATCACATAGGTAGAAGTATAAAAGAGGAAAAAAGAACGCCACCTCTAGAAATTTACATCAGCTAATACAAGAACTTTGTTAAAAAGCACACTGTTGTCAAGGTTTTCCACTTTAATATTCTATAAATATGAGATAAAACAAATTTATAATATATAAACAAATATAAATCTTATCTTACATTATTTATTTTAAAATTATTATATAATAACTCATTCATTAATATATAATCTCCCGTTCAATAGGCATATATTTCAATGTGCGTAAGAGTTTGTAGTATTATGTTTTAGTAAAGAGCATAAGAGAAATAAATGGTACTTTCGAGGAGAAAAGATAAGGGAAGTTTCGAATTGAAAAATGTGAATTCCTTATAATGTTGCGTGGAAGAAACCGAACTTTCTTTTGGAATTACTATGTCTTCTGTTGTTCGTTAGGAATAGTGAAGATTGTGACAAAAACTAGGAGAAAATAACTGAGAATTTGGTGAGGCTTTCCAGTGATGCCAAGTTAGTAGGTGTGTGT